TCTCGCTGCCGATTGCAGGGGAGATTGCCTCAAGGTGAGGAAATAGCCGTAAAGAGACTCTCGAAGAGATCTGGCCAAGGCATTGAGGAGTTCCAGAATGAAGTGGAGCTCATCGCCCGGCTCCAGCACAGAAACCTGGTTAGGCTCGTGGCCTGGTGCACCCATCAAGAAGAGAAGATTCTGATTTATGAGTATCTTCCAAATAAAAGCCTGGACAAGTATATATTTGGTAGGTTAGTTCAATTTCCTCCGAATTTTTAGAAACAAGACTGTTTTTACAGGATTTTCTCTGTTATCTTTTCATCCACTCACCAGGATTGCTTCGATTCTGCAGATCCGGAGAGATCGAGAGAACTCGACTGGGGAAAGCGCACCAGGATCATTGAAGGGATAGCCCAGGGCTTGCTGTACCTTCACCGCTACTCTCGGCTGCGCATCATACACCGAGACCTGAAGGCGAGCAATATACTTTTGGACGACGCGATGAACCCTAAAATTTCAGATTTCGGGCTGGCGAGGATATTTGGTGGGAACCAAACGCAGGCGAACACCGACAAGATTGTCGGAACCATGTGAGCGCCGTTACCCAAGTCGTTGCCTCAGAGAGACTTTCCTTCGATGCTAACCTCGCGGATGATGAGTTCGAATGCAGAGGATATATGTCCCCGGAATACGCCTTGAATGGCCTCTTCTCGGAGAAATCTGACGTCTTCAGCTTCGGCGTAATTATCTTAGAGATCGTTTCTGGCGAAAAGAGCTCTGGTTTCTACCACTTCGAAGAGGCGCTCTCCCTCCTAGGATATGTGAGTAACTGATAATGCATGGGATTTTTATCTCTCGAGAGGTTGACCTTCCGAAGGATGCATCTCGTGCGTTCCACAGCTCGCATTACACCTGTGGGCCGAGCTTCTTGTGCCTTTGGTCTTAACTTGTAGGGCTTCCGGCTTTCCTCATCAGACCTTGGTTGTCCTTTTCCTCGTGACTTTCAGGCGTGGAGGCTGTGGCAACAAGGGAGAGGCTTGGAGCTCGTGGATTCATCAATCACGGGAACAGTTCACGAGGGAGAAGCTCTCAGGTTCATTACGGTGGGCTTATTATGCACTCAAGAAAATCCCGCGCATCGGCCCTCGATGTCTTCGGTCATCTCCATGCTAGGTAACGAGCAGGCAGCTCTTCCTTCGCCGACATATCCCCCATTTTTTGAAGATAGGGGTGCAAAGCTCACAGTAGGGACCTTATTCTCAAGCCAATCAGTTAACGAGGTGACAAACACTGATGTGTACGGCCGTTGAGATGCAACGTGTTCCTTGTCGAACGATATAGCTCCTATTTTTTGTTCGCTTTTTTTTACCTACAAGTGCTTAATCTTCACTGATCTAAATGAGTTCGCAGAGATGTCGTAACACTGATTTCTAAAGTCTCATTGCCCCAGGTAGCATAGGAAAATACCATCGCCTGTGGAGAAAAATACAACATTAATAGCCCAAAATAATTTTTCTATTCTAAGAAATATCATTTAAAATTACAGAATTATTGAATTGTGAGATATGATTATCAAGAAGTTAGCAAGGACGAAGAATTAGTTTTTCAGCATCAAGGGTTGCTGACATAGTTTAATCAATATGTATAAATCACATAAATCTTAAATTTAGAAAACCAAAAAATATTAATTTTTAGATTTTTAGAAATATTTCAGCACATATATATCATTTATACTTCAATAAAAGCTCAAAAAATAATATAAAATTTTTAAGTTGATCATAAAAATGTAAGATAATATCAAAAAAACTTCCAATTTTTTTTCAAAGAATATGATTTTACGATTTTTAGAGTAAACAATGAAGATAAATATATTAAAAATTCACAAAAAATAACTTTTGTTGCGGACATCAAGATGACATTAATGCCTTGACATATGTAATATGGGTGGAAATAAAGTACAATCTAATAATTCTTGTGTAAATGATTACAAATGATTTAATTGATCAAGTTAAAATTTGTAAAAGTCAAAAACATCATCATCTAATAAAGAATAATTTTGAAACTTGAATCACACAAAATCTTACTAATTTAAGTAAAATTATATTTTAAAGAGGAGAGGTAGAGCTTTGGCATTTTGATGACATTCATTAGAATTATGAGTATTTAAAAAGATTATTATATAATATCTATGGTCTCAAAGACTCTCTTTGGACTTGGACGATGTGAGTAATTTTTAGACCATTTTTTGTAAGTTAAAAATGAATGAAATGAGTCAATAAATTGTCTTCAATAATTGTCACTTGGCAAAATAGAAATTCAACAACTTTTAAATCTTTAGCAACTATCACCCGACGGAGGTAACCTAAATGAAAGTGAGATGCATCTTAAATACTTTCATTCTAAAGTATGCACAGCAAAAGTAAGCTCTTAATCATATCTAGTATGCTTTAAGAAGGTAGCGACTCATCTCTTGCTAGATCTTCTTTTTCTCAATAGCAGCTTGTTCATTGATTAATCATAGATAATTTTCTTGAACAATATATACTTTTTGTATTCAAAATCTTAGGTTAGTTGCTAACAATGATCCACAAATAGTGCTGATCATTTTTTTATTGATTTATGTACAATCATTGACCAATACTTTATAAAAAATTAGGAGTTAAATAAGTAAAAGATGTGAAATTTAGCTTTTGTGGGTTTCAAACCTTCGTCGGTCACCCACCTACATAAGAGAGAATTAGATAAATATGTAAATATCATTGCCCAATGATGGCATAAGGATATTTACTTCTCATAAATCAGGGTTATTTTAGGTATAAAAATATATAAAACTTAATTGTGACTCTATTATGAGTTTAGTCTCACATCAATTATTTCTTAATGTTTGAGAGATATATATAGTAATACTATTTTTTAGATTTGAGTTCCCTCTCCCATAAACAAATGGCTAAGACCATTTGGGGAGAGGGCTAAGCCAAGTGGTCCACCCTTATACACATGTGTACAAATGCTCCTTGCCCCATGACCAGCTAGCCCTTGGGACGTGGAAGGAAAGCAACACACATGCTCTATGTGGGTCCCTTAGTCACTCATGCCCTTAGCTCATGGTTCCTCAATTGTGCCTCCGACTTTCATGCAAGCCCAATTGGCCAATGGGTCTCCCTTTTTCGCTATTTGTTTATTTATTTTATTTTATTCTATTCTTATTTTATCTCAAAAATATGATAATAAAAATTATATAAATTCTCTTAAAATCACATATTTAGTCAAAATATCACATTAATCAACTCAAATCTACTTTTCAATTTAACAGAAATATAATTCTATTTATCATAATTTAAGGCTTAAAATATATTATTAATTAATTATTAACTCATGATAATGAAGACTTATTAGTTACTAAGTTAATATATATTCAAAATGACAACCCAAGTAGCAAAATAAATAACATTACTAGAATTCTGATAGTTTTAAGTTCTTAGATTTATCTTTTATTCACCCTTGCAACTGCAATTATCTTCAATTATCACAATAAGGATGTTGAAACTATATTATCTTTATCATTGAAGATAGGAGAGCATGCATTAGATCACTAGTTTACTCATCACTCTAAGATCCTTGTTAATGGGAGTCTCGACTTAGGTTATATGGCTTCGTTTTTCATTTTAGTGCTCATTTTCTCCATCTTTATATGTTTTTAATAAAAATCTAAGTCTCCCTCACATTGTTGTTGACTTGTCAAAGTGGATATTGGGTTCCTAATTTTCAGGAAACAGCCAATGAAAGATAAGGCAAGTCCTAACTAACTCACCAACTCACATCCATTTCTCTCTCTTTCTATACCTCTATCCTCCAATATGAAAAGGGTAGGGACAACATGATGGGTGGCTTCTTCTATGGAATGTAGAAAAATATGGAACATTTTGCTCTCTCTTTCTCTCTCTCAGACACACACACACACACACACACACACTAAGAGACAAAAGAGGAGAGGAGGAATGGAAGACAATGAACTGGGAGTGATTCAACTTGTTTTGGTGGATGAGCGTCTTTCAATAGTGGAAGGTTTATTTGAAAGCATGATTTTGAAGAGTACGATTTGTTTAACATCCTATTAATGAAAGAGATATAGTCGTCTTGTAAGGTTCTCTTTTTGTGTGTTCATAAACTTAAATAAATCTCTTTAGATCTGTTCAGACATAGCAGGATTTCTCTAAACCGCATAATTCCTGATGCATCATTTCTTCATGCTTTTCCATTTGTATTCTATCCTATCATATCCATTCATTTGTTTGTGATTCGTTGGGCACATCTTTACTTGCCGGGTAGAGTATCTTGTGATTCGTCTATAAGCATTTGTACTCTTTTGTTTTCCACAACACATCCATTGTGTGTGTGCGTCTGGTTATAATATGAGATAAGTTGTGAAAGATGATACCTACCAGTCATCATATATCACAAACCATTTCATTTTTGAGTCATCAAGAAAATTTCTATCGAGAATATGAAAAATAAAAGAATTTCATAGATATTGAATCAATTTATAAGCTGTTGGAATCGTGGAAACTGATCTCTTATTGGGCCATGTTGGGTTCTAATGGTCCTTGTGGCGAGTATCCATTTCATCCGGTCATCAAGGAAGTTATGATTTTCAGAGACAGATGTCCTTTGTCCTTCATCTGATCTTTAAGATGAGGGTGCACCCTCCTCTCATGTAATTAGGGTATGTGAAGACTTCTTACTGCTGGGGGGTTTTCAGAGACGATCTCTAGAGGAATCTTGATCGGTGTGCAACCATCGACATAGGAGGTTCCTCTGAACGTGAACTACGTAAATCCTGTGCATTCCTTTTTTTGTTTCTTAACCAATAAAATGCACATTGATTTCTCATGGAGCAATAATTCCATCCAAAAATTAGGGGCACCATATGTTTGGCTTGAAGAAGAGGGCATCAAATCAGTCTAATGATTGAATGGAGTGGTTGTAAATTTCAATTACAATGTAGGATTCCTCATGTGGACATCAACTCTTTAAGCATTCAATTTCCAAAGACTTGTTTCACTGCACGAGTGGATAAACAAGTTGTGGTCAGCTGTGTACACAAAGGTTACAAGTGATGAGTTGCACGGACGGAGGAGAACGGAAAATAAGAGAGAGAGAGAGAGAGAGAGAACAGCTGGGAAGGACGAGAAAAAGGGGTAGAGATGAGTAATAAATGACGAGGACAGGGCAGGAAAACTAGGAATGATGGTCTCCTGTGCAAGGTATATCAAGACCTCTTGCTGATGACTTTTTACAGCCATTAATTACCCATGACCCTAATTTCAATTTATTCTCTTCGTTATTATTTACTAATTAATCTTGATGACTTCAGGTTTTCATATATTGCCATTGTGACCAACTAGAATTTTTTATTAAATGGTAGGCTGGTAAGGTTGATAGAGACGTTACAATATATGTGACCAAGGAAATAAAAAAATCATGAAGTTCTTCAATTGAAGGAAAGATAGTAGTAAGAGACCCACATGGGTGGGTTACTCTTCTCTCAGTGACGAGGTCATTAGGATAGTCTTATGATGAAAGTGATACTGTTATGGGGTTAAGGTTGACCTACATCAGTTCTCTCCCCATGTTGACCTTAGCCGTCATGCTGGCACCAAAGAGTCTCTTCAAGTCACACAAAAGACTTTTGTTAGAGCAAAGGCCCAAAATGAATTTCTAGAACACTGCTCAATCGATCCATGTAACTTGAAGTAAGAAAGAAGAAATAGATCAACTCACAACAAGAGCATTGACACTGAGATTTTTATTTGGTGAAGGTTAGCCTCCTATGTTCACAGACGATGACCTTAGCTCCACTATATAAAATAAGAATATAGAATAGCTCTCACGAAGAACAAAGGAATAAAATCCTTATCTTCCGCTTTCAAGCACTCACCACCCAATAAATGCCTTCGCACCTGGAGCCTCATTGGGAGATGGGCCCTCAACCATTTGAAATGGTCAACCCGGCGGTTTCTTCTTCCGTCAGCATGAAATGGTCTGACTGTTATCGGCTGTTTCCATTTCACCTGGTGCCCCAAAATGGGCCATTCCAACCGTGAGAATCGGTTCAGGAATGAACTGCTTCCCCCTCACGGAGGATGGAGAGGAAGACCATGCTTCAACTTTGCCTAATGACCCTTTAATTACATGATTATTTATGTGAAATACATATTTTTGCAGAGTTATTCTGAAAAACTTGAAACTAGTATGAAGCTCGTTTCTAATTTAAGCTCTAGTCACTAGGGTCTTTGCGAAATAACACATTTTAATTTATTAGATTTATAATGACGGAAAACATTGTTTTTTAAACGAATTGGTGAAAGAATCAATTCAAGTTTGTCTACATTAGTTCCCCTCCATAAATCTTACACAAAACTCCAGCCAGCAGTGTCTTAGCTCTGGGCTCCCTCAGCCTCAGAAGGTCTTACATCTGTAAGAAAATATTCCGGAGAGGTTTGTGATCGCTTTCAGCAGTGGACTGTAGAACTCCTTCTGGCTGCCACAAACTGATACTGCTCTACCGACCATCGACAACTGTCATTGTTAGGCTGCAGGACGAGGAAACCTCGGCTGAGTGCTTGCAGTTACTTAGAGCCAGGAAGCCGGGCTGCTTGGGGCAAGGCAGCGGGAAGTCTTCGCTCGCCAGCATCATGACGACAGTAGCCATGGTCGGACGGTCGGCCGGGTGCTCTTGAACACACAGCAGGCCAATCTGTACGTACGTCACCATCCCTTTGGGATTTGAGGAACTGCGTATTGTCTCGTCGAGGAATCCCAGGCAGTCACCTTCTAGCCATAGCTTCCAGCCTATAACACCTCCATGGATGCAGTTTCTTGGTTATCGCATGGTTAACAGAATACTACCACGGGCAAGAAATTTAAATCTAGTCATCAGAATTGATTGTTTATTTGAAAGGTCTTCAAGCACTCACATGGGAAAGGAGATTCAGGTGACCTTGGCTTTCATAGATCCCTCCGTTTCTCTGACAACTGAGGATCTCTAGGACAAGAACTCCGAAGCTGAAGACATCAGATTTCAGTGAGATGATCCCGTTTATATCGTACTCCGGAGACATATATCCACTGCTAAACAATAAATAAGGTACATAATCAGAGAAATTCAAAATAAGAAAGTAAATCAATAGGTACTTACTATGTAGCGATAACCCTTCTCGTATTCTCCATGGTTTGATGCTCTCCGAAGATCCTCGCAGTTCCAAAATCGGAAATTTTTGGGTTCATTGCTTCGTCGAGGAGGATGTTGCTGGCTTTAAGATCTCTATGAATGATCTTGAATCTCGAGTCGTGATGGAGGTACATGAGCCCTCGGGCGACGCCAAGGATGATGTCCGAACGAAGACTCCAATCTAAAATATCAGACGTTCTTCTGCCTGATTCAATGCAATAGTGATCAATCTCTTGGTCTAATTAATCAGCCAATCAATATTGCAAGGCTATCTACCTTGGAAGAAGAGTAAATGAGTTTAAAAGTTAGTGTCATTCAACATATATTATTTGATAATGAATAAAAAAATCAAGCAAGTGCCATGGAAATACATATTTTATGTTACTCGACATGAGAATGTTTTATTACTAACCAAATATAAAGCGGTCTAAGCTGCTATTCTCCATGAATTCGTAGATCAGCATCCTTTCTTCACCATGATTGCAGCAGCCGAGTAGCCGAACGAGGTTCTTGTGTTGAAGTTTGGCTATAAGCGTTGCCTCGTTTATGAACTCATTGACCCCTTGAACAGAGGTCCAAGAGAGCATCTTCACTGCCACCTCCTGGCCATCGTCCAAGACTCCCTAGCAAACCATCTCGATGAGTCACTTTCTAAAACACATGACTTTGTATTTATGGACATCTTCATTCTATTTGTTCATTGGGAAATCTACCTTATAAACAGTTCCGAATCCGCCTTCGCCAACCTTGTTTCTTAGTGAGAAGTTCTTAGTGGCTGACACGATCGTTTTGTACTCCATTAATGGGAGCTCCGAGTCCTCCACAGCGATGCTCACGTCAATGTGCTTCTTCCCTTTATCTGTCACCAAAGATGGGACTTTCAATAAATATGCGATCAGTATGAGTTTCTCACAGGGACGAAAATAGATTATGCGTAAATTCCCTTTAACAAGACCTTGGTCATACAGTCGGAAATCATTCATATTTCCGAACTTTTAAAGAGTCATGCTGCAAGCTTTTCAGGGGTCTATCTATTTATCATAATGTTATTAGCACAATGATTTATGTGCATGCATTCTTAATTTCGTTATATATATTGTAATGTAAAGATACTTTTTATTTACCAGTGAAAGAGCGTATAGAGCTAGCTGTTTCATGCCATTGAACATAAATGAATCACATACCTACTTCTGATTGAAGATGATGCCACGTAAACGGTGCATATTTCATACTAAAAAATGGATTATCTAGCATCTCTAAGCTAGCGTCAAATAATTAGATTTTCTACGGAAAAATAAATAAACGGTAGAGTCGAGTAATGTATAGAACCATTTTGTTCAATCTGCCAATTAGAAGTTAAGGTTGTTCTTATACCAATTCAGTAAATATAGATGTAGGTAACGAAGATTAACATGTTACCTCCATCAATCATCATCAGCTTCCGACGCTTGAGCCTTGTCCGCCTGTTGACTATTAAACCGCACAAAGCTCCCAGGAACAGTGAAAAGACGACGATTGCCGAGGCTACGAGCGCCGCATTTCGCTTGCTCTTCCCTTTCACAGATTTTGCTGTCACAAGTCATCATTATCAGCGGACGAGGAGAAAAAGTAAGAACATGAACGATAAGATGAAGAACAGGAAGGAGAAAAAGAATATGTGGAGCAAGAAAAGGAAGACCTAGGACAGAGCCCGGCACCCGTATGTATAAATCTTCCTGTCCGTTTGCGACGATCCTGATGTCCATGAGGTCACCAAACCAGGTGACGCACCCCGTTCCTGTGTTTCTAACGTAGGCACTGGAGTTGGCAGTGCAAGAGCAGTCGTTGAGGCAACTCTCGTGGCACTCCTCGAGCGTCATGTTCATCTTCACCGTTGAGTTCTTCGTGTCTGGCATCTTCATCCCCTGCAATTGCAGAAACCCATCTCCACCGCACTGTAGCTTCACCTTCCGCACGCACCCGCCAGTGGTGTCTCGTAGGTACTACTCCTGCGGCGACCTCGGCTCGAACCCCGTCGGGCATTGGCACACGGGCGACATGTTAGAACCGCAGATGCCATTGGGCCCCCATCTGCCATAAGCGTCGCACAGGTCCACCGGGCCTGAGAAAAAGCTGTTCCAACTCGAGGTCCGCGCGTTCCACAACCGCAGCTCCGCCAAGCCTGACGGTTGGACCACTATGATGGGGTTCGAATTACTACTGGTCTTCTCGATCTGGTAGTAGACTTCTTGTTCGTCGTAGATGACGTCGGCCAGGAACATATCGGTGGAATTGATGTCCGGGAGTCCGCTAAACGTAACGCCGTTCCAAGGGCCGCTATTCCACCTGACAGTGTTGCCCTCCAGCAGGACGACGTGGGGCAGGTTTCTGATGTTCATCCTCATCGTAAAGTTCCCGGGAGACGGATCGGCGGTGCTCTTCCACGAGGTGAGGTGACGGGTAGCGCCGGTCTTCTTGTTCACCCCCAACCTCATGCCGGCGATTAGGGTATCCCCAGGTTCATCGAAGCTCTGCCAGAGGTAGGAAGCGCCGCTCGATTGGTTGCGATTCTCGTCTCTGATAACGAAACTTCCCGTATCCATTAGCCGCCACAGACGACGACCAGACGACCACGCCAGCTTTGCCAACGACGATTAAGTTCCCCGTTTCGCTGAACTTTAGAACCCCGCTGGAGTCTTCCAGCGGCCGTCCTCGGTTCGCTACCCACAGGACGTTCTGAACTTGGACCTTCTTGAACCATATCCCCAAATACCTGTTCTTGGAGCCACTGGGGCTGAAGAAGCCCATTTCGAAGACCCCGCCGGGGGAGACGAGAGTGCCGCCGCCATCCGTCACAGTCATGGTTTCGCTGACGGTGTCGGCGGCCCAGGAAGCCGTGATGAGAGAGAAGAAGATAACAGGGAGAAGCGGAGGCCCCAGAGAGGACACAATGGCTCCAAATTACTCTTCCTTCACTTCAGTATAGGAGAGGAGACAGGACAGCCAGCGCGACAGGCGGGTAGTCAGTACTTTGTAGACCTTCCGTGCGCGACAGCGCGACTGCTTTGAAAACATCATTGGACGAAACCAAGCCGTCGCCCGGCAAATACGACTCGTAGCCCCCGTCAAAGCCGTCGCCAGTCCAACTGAATTAGTAAATTATTAAAAAATCCTTCTTTTTTGTAGTCGGTCAAAGTTCACATTCTTATAATTTCGAGGTTATTAGTTGATCCATACAACTCGTTGCCTGAAACCTGTAAAACCATTTTGTGAGCTGGGTCTTATGATACTAATAAGTATAGTTTAAAGAGTATCTGAGTCGAACCATAATGAGTTGTCTAAACTAAGATGAGATTTAACTTTTAATCAAGATTGAATTTTTGATGAAGAATAAGATGAGGAAATAGAAGAGAGTTGACTTAAGCACACTAAAGTGGGAATAGATGAATCTTATTTTGATGATTTTTAAGTCACCAAGAGAAGAGAAATAAGGTGAGAAATAAATGGTAAAATATGGGATGATTGTAAATTCTTTAATCCTAATGTACATAAATAAAAACTCTAATCTTGTTAGATCTTCGTATGTCACCTAAGAGATCAATATAAAGACTACAGCATATTAATCTACTCCTAAACTACTTTCTAATCTTTTTTTATCTCTACTTCCAATGAATGCCCAACTTTGATGAATCAAAAGAGCAAAATAACATAAAAAGAGAAGGATCAAAAGAAAGATTTAAAGTATCATAAATCTGCTTTACCTTACTCACTCTTAGAAATGTGATCAATCTTGATAAATCAAAGATCCACATAAATCAAGAAAAGTAAGAGAAAGGTAGAAGAGTTGGATTTTATTATAGGATCAATCTAGTGTCACTTTAGGGAGCAAAGAATCAAATCTTTACCTAGTCTTCAATCGGATCAACGCTTTCTCACTAAAAGGATCTCAAAAAGAAGAGAATGTAATAAGAAAATAAACTTATTCATTAAAAATAAAATTTAATACATAATGAAAGAACCAAATACATGAAAGTTGCCTTTGTATGTCATTTGGAGTACTCAAATGAATCCCTCCTTATTGTTCTTAGATTGGCTCAAGGATTGAAGTTCTTGGAGATCTCATCTTCTCCCTCTTGAGCACCCTCTCCTATGAACGAAATGGCCTTTTCTCTCCTCTAGATGGCTATTTATTCTCCCCTTGGTCGTGCCCATTCTCAGCCCTTGAATTGTGGAGAAGAGTGCACAGCCCTTGGATTAGATTTCTCTCTCCAAGGGCAGCCTAAGGGAGGTGGGCGGCTGCTAGGATGTCTCCTCACTTGCCCTCACCCTAGGACTTATCTCAGCCCTTAGATTCGGCTGATTGAGGGGCTGAGATAGTCCCAAGGGTTGTTTAATAAGGGAGAGTGGTGTGGATGATCAGATGGTGCCACATAGCCCTCCCTCTAATTAAGGAAGAAATGAACCGCCCACCTTAAATGGGCAGTTTCCTTAATTTGAGGGGAGAGAAAATGCTTCCTTAATGTGAGCTGCCCAGCTGGCCCATGGGCCTATATATCCTGAAACATAATATTCAAATAAAACCCATTACCCCTTAAACAAATAAATATAATAAATTAGGCATAAGGGAGAAATCAATATGGTAAATCTAAACTCATTTATATATGAGTTGACTTAGGGTTAAGAGATGCATAATAAATCATAAAAACCATATGGGTGATAGCACATGAATAATGTGCTAGAATACACCTTAACTTAGTTAATTTTATAGTTCTATGAGATTATTAATGTGTTGTTTACATTAATAATTTAACATGTTTCAAGACAAAGTAGTATGTCAAATATTTCTTAAAATTTTGTGAGAATCACTTCCTTATACACATCTGGCTATCTAATTAAATCAGATTATTTTAGACATTGAATATACTTTTGTGATTTTTCTAATCATTTTCCAGTGTTTTAGGAATTTTTGCCTTAGGTCATAGCTACTTCATCAACGGTTGTGATATAGCAGCTCAATCATCACTCGTAGGAGTGAGGAGGTGGCATTTTGGCAGGAGAAAGATCTGATGGCCTGGGAGAGAGCTCATGAGGGAGTCCACCGATCTAACGAAACGTGGTTGTGTGGGGGAGGAAGCCACCCGAACCTTTCAGCAATTTCTTGCGTGTGCGAGAGGTGCTCGAGAGGCGAACTAGAGAGGAGAAAGAAGGAATACCGCCCTATATGTTTAAAAAAACTAATGTTATGAACAGCTTTTGATGAAGGAAGCCTTAGGCGATTCAGCCAACCTTGAGGGGTTCAGGGTTTTCCAAGCTCCACATCGTGTGAATACAGGTGTGTCCATCCGGAATGCTCCTCATCTCACCTGAACGAGGTCTCTCTCACTGCTTTGAGTGAATGCCTCTTCCTAGCAGAAGTAAGGAAGAAGGAATGGTGACACCAGGTTAGTTTTGAGATGAAGCAGATTTTGTTTAGTTTAGTTTAGTTTAAGATAGATTTTAATTAAGAATTAAATGGGAAGATACGAACAGTTGATTGTTGTCTTACGTCAGCTAGATCTGAGAAATTAGTTCCCAATTCATCATTCCCCCTTCTTCTCTCCGTCCAATCATGACCCTTTTTTCTCTTTCCTATTCCATCCTTCATTAGAATGAGCATTAAATAGTAAGCCTCAAATTCCCTGAGGAGACGACCTGACTTGCTGCTATCTACGAGTATTTCACAAATCAGATTAGAACATAACTCATAATAGTTTTGATTGAGGAGATTAAGGACTAATGGCACTTGTAGAAAATCTAACTCATCAAATGGAGCTGTTCTCCGGGAATTTCGAGCACTAAACGATTTTATGCATTCTATTTTTAATGAAGTTGTTTTTAGTTTCTTGAGTTTTATCTACAGAAGACAAGGTGATGTGGATATCAATCAATTACTTAGAGAAATTCTAAAGAACAAGGTAAGTGAGCTCCAAAAAAATTTGTGCAAAGATATCGAGTAAAATTTGATATGAATTTAGAAGAAATTGGCTTGAACAATATCCACTAAATCATGTCATTTAACTTTCTTTGTTGAATGTGGTAGGTTTATTTGAGCAAAATCAACCTCAAGAGAAAAGTTTCTTTTTAAAAGTATTAAAAGTTTTCATACAATTTTTGATATATTGAATTGAATATATTTGAAATTTTAACTACCTTCTTTATCTTCATAAAGGGTGAATTTCTCAAAATAGTTATAGTGTGTGCTTACAAAGATTGGAAATCTAACTTGCAGGATTAATTAAGGATATTAATCTATGAATAGATTCAAAATTGATTGTCTAACCCCTATTTTGTGTTGCGACTTATATTAACAGTCACATTGAACATCTATTGTGATAAGATGAGGCAAGGGAAACCTCAGGCAGAAAAATTAGCCTCAAAACATGTAGAAATCTCAAAATTCGACTTTAAAATTTTTCACCTGTTTTTCTACATTAGATGATTTTTCTGATAATTTTATCAATCATAACTGCTACATCTCTGTGGGATAATTGGCTAAAATTCTATTTTTTTAGTTTTGGTGGCTAAGATCTGTCTATTGGAAATTCTGTTTTAAAAATCTAGTAAGTTCCGAAATTTTTCTGAAGCATTAAAGAGGTCACCTTGAAAGTAAGGACATAAATTTTTATTACAAGCTACCTAATTCTTGCACATGATCAATATATACTAAACTATCTGTTCTTTCTCAATTCAGATTACTTGTAAAGATTACATCTTCTGAAAATAGTAATTTTGAATATTTTTTGTAATTTTGTTCATTAAGATCATTGAGGATTTTCTACACATGTCCTACTAGTCAAGATATATCAAACTGTCATAGTAATAAGTAGACAGCGTAGAACAAATTAACAAAGTTAGAAGTAAGCAAATGCAAGCACATAGATCCTAGAAGGACATAGTCATTCCCCTAGTAAAAGAGTTAGGAGAATCATCATAAGTAAAAGTGACTATGGAAAAAAAAACAAAAAATAGGAGGAAACCAAAGGAAAAATAGAAGAATGCATCTTAAAGATCACTCAGCTCCCTTATAGTACAGACCAATGAATAGAATCAATGCTCCTATTCAGAATGATGTCAACTTTAGAGTTGATCATCATCTTGTACAAATGTTATCACATTTTCATGGGATGACTCACGAAGAGCCATATAAACATTTGGAAGATTTCTCACAAGTTTGTAAGATTTTGCATTATCCCAACATTCCCATTGAGATAGTGAAGATGAGATTATTCTCCTTCACACTCAAAGAAAAAGCTGACTAGCTTCATGTGCCTTGGTCCAAGAGCTAAATTCATGGACTAATATGGAGGCAGCATTCCTTAAGAAATTTTATTTACTAGGAAAAATGAATTCTATTAGGAGGGTGTTGTGCACCTGTCGTGTGTTTAAATGCACACTATCTAATAATATTTATAATTAAGACTTAATAAAATATTAATATAGAAATAAGTCTCAGGTTAAACACAAAGAGATTGATTAATCTGTCATGACAACTAATTTAATTTATATATAAAGTGATTTAAATAGAGATAAAATATTAAAATCACTCTATATATAAACTAAATTAGTTTTCACAATAGATTAATCAATCTTCTTGTGTCTGACTTGAGACTTACTTCTATACTAATATTTTATTAAGTCTTAGTTATAAATATTATTAAATAGTATGCATTTAAACATAATGAGAAGTGCACATCAATTATTATAAAGGCCAAAATAATTAACATATACAAGAAAAATGCCACAAAATACAAAAGTATATTAGATTTGAT